GAGGTGGGAGAAGGCTGAGGGAGATAGAGGCTGAGGAAGGTAAAGGCTGAGGGAGGTAAAGGCTGAGGGAGGTAAAGGCTGAGGGAGGTAAAAGCTGAGGAAGGTAAAGGCTGAGGGAGGTAAAAGCTGAGGAAGGTAAAGGCTGAGGAAGGTAAAGGCTGAGGGAGGTAAAAGCTGAGGGCCGGGATGAGGGACAGGAGGGCTGAGGGCGGGAAGGCTGAAGGGGAGGAAGGCTGAGGGGTGCCGCCCCCTCAATAAACCCACACCACAATCAAGGCTTCATGAATAATTTATTCCATTTGAAATTATTTTTGTTTGCTTGTTTTTTAAAAAGTATAAAGTTTTTTTTTTTTTTTTTTTTTTTTTTGTGTGTTTTTTTTTACGTTTCATTTCCTCGATCACAATTTTGTACAACTCAGTGTTTATGGCATTCGGCAGCAATAGTGTTTCTTCCTTTAAATCGCTTTTTATTTCTGTGTTTGTCACGATGAGCACGGTGACAGCCGCTCGGCCCAGGGCGCGTGGCTCTGTGAGGCTTCTGGCATGTCCAGCCGAGCCAGGGCGGCTCCTGGCATGTCCAGGTGTGCCAGAGGTGTTGGAGCAGCTCCTGGACCTGTCCAGCCTTGGTCGAGCAGCTCCTGGACCCGTCCAACCTTGTTGGAGCAGCTCCTGGACCCGTCCAACCTTGTTGGAGCACCTCCTGGGCCTGTCCAGCCGTGCCAGAGGGATGTCAGGGCAGCTCCTCGGTGTGTCCAGCCGTGCCAGAGCGGTGTTGGAAAGGCTCCCTGGTGCATCCAGCCGTGCCAGAGCGGTGTTGGAAAGGCTCCCTGGTGCATCCAGCCCTGCCAGAGCGGCTCCCTGGTGTGTCCAGCTGTGCCATGGGACGTTGGAGCAGCTCCCCGGTGTGTCCAGCCGTGCCGGAGGGGCGACGTGTCCAGTCACGAGGCCACAGGCTGCGTCCTCCCGACCCGGCGCTCGGCGAGGTCCTCGCGGTCCAGTTGACTCGGAAAAACCTAAAGCTTGATGAGTAACGTCCTGAAAAAGTGACCCTGAGGATTGTGGTAGGTCCCAAATCCAGTTTTACTGTAAATTAAGCTTTACTCCACTGAAAATAAAAAGTACACCCACAAATAATAATTAAAAAAACCCTTTAAGTATGAAGCATAGTCCTGGGTCCTTTACTTAAAAAAAAAACCAAAAACATAAACCAA